GATGGATGAATTTAATACCTGAGATAAGTGTACGGGTATTTATAGGCGCAGTCTTGAAACTTTCCGATCGCACCTCGTATACGCGCAGTCTGGAAACTTTCCGATCGCACCTCGTATACGAAATTTTCGTTTGTTCAAGCGCATTACAGCGTAAATAACTTTTATCTGAACTTATTTCAAATCCCAAGCTGTTAGAAGGTTTAAAAGAAGTTTTGAATAACATATATTGACATTATAAATTTCTGGGTTGTTGGCCGGGAGTTGCAATTTGTTTTTATAAGCTTTGGTCGTCAATTGTAAAAAAAAAATCTAAGATAAATTATAAACGTTATCTGTGTGCTTTTTAATCTTTCTAAATTTTGTATTTTTAACTAAATATTAATTCAATTCATTTATTTAACAGCCAAGCGCTGAACAACAGTACAGAATAAAATATAATATAATAATTAAATTCATTTTAATAATAATAAAAGTAATACATTACAAATAATTGAAACTAAATAAATAATAATAATAATAATAATATATACATTTCTTCAATAAATGTGAAGTACAGTTAATATAAGGGCTGAATTAACGATTTTGATTGCAACATCGGTCTTGAAGAATATTTCTTTCGGACAGTTTACTTCATCTGTTTAGGCTCGCCATTAAATGTCGCGTGGACTTTCAAGTAGTTACCAATTTGGGCTCACATACTGCGTCCATCTACACGGGTTACTTCAGCCCTGAACATGTAGGCAGTATGTTCCTTCGAAGCGTTTTTACCTACTATAAGTCTACGTGGCGTTATAATCCAAGTACGTGTACTCGCATGGACTGATTTAGGATGAGAAGTACAGTAATCTTTCAATATCCGGTTTAGTTTCTGCATCACCGGAAGTAGTCATTCGTAAGACCGATTCTAGTTCTCGACACTCGTAATTAAATTAAACATTTACTCACAGTACTAATTACATATCTTCTGGTACCAGGAAACAGTTTTTCATTACACAGGTTAACACAGCGAGTTTAAAAAAAAATATACACGCGTAACATAGAATTTTGATGGAAAATCCTTCTGGAAAACGACCACTTGGCAGACCAAGAAGTAGATGTAAGGATAATATCAAGATGGATCTTAGGAGGAGTCAGAAAAGCGAATTGAAAGGACAAGCTAGAAAGAATTAAGAGTCTGTGATATATTGTTCCCACGCGCCATTAGGTTTTCGAGGGAACGGTAGTGACGTCTGGCACTGTTCTGCACTCTGACGGCGAATGACCCGAACTACATCACCCCAACGGCGGGGCCCCCAGCAGATTACTAATGACGTCACAGCGTCGAGACGGTCCGGTGAATTGCGACACGCGAGGAAAAATTCTTTGGGGAGGGGGAGAGTGCAGTGACCTCTCGTGGCAGACTGTCTACTTACAAACTGAACTACATTTTTTAAATTCCTCAGATTATATAGCGTCGGATGAAAGGATGACAGTGGATAATGAATTGGAAAGGATCTGGAAGGTAGCCTAATTTAAGGCGCTATCCCGTAATTTGCCTGGAGGGACTGAGAAAAATCACGAAGAGCCTGAGTGAGTGTGACCGGTCTCCAGGGCGAAATTTTGAACCCGGCACCTCCCGGATATGAATCAGGAGTGCTAACCACTCAACTACGACGTTTGATTAAAATTATCCGTGTGAAAATGGTACCTTGTTACTGTATTTATCTCGAGAAGAAAATATCTAAAAATGTGAAAATATAAAATATAACCTGTAATTCAAGAACACGCGGTTGAAAGAGAGTTTTCTGTAAAATGGCGGTCTATTATGTAAATGTAGATGTTAGAGCTACGTGGCGTCCAGCAGACGTCTGGACTGATGTCAAATTTGGAACAGGAAAGTGAGGAACTTCGTAACTTTTAATAGGATGAGATTACCGGATCATGTAGCATGAACGATATTCCAAATTATTGCTACACCTGAAGGAAAGAGAAAACTTGGAAGACCAAGACATGGATGCAAGTATAATATTAAATTGCTCCTGAATTACAGCGTAGATTAGATTTACCTTGGAAGGTCTTGTGAA